TCTGTGAATAATGTAAATTTCCTTCTCAGCATGAGCTGGTTATCATAGCTTTTGAGGGAAAAACAAAGCATGCTTTAAAGAATTTACTTCTAGACCTGATTTCCCCTGGGAACTACCAGATCCAGTTTAGGGCTGTCTCCAGTATTGTTTCAAACCTGAACCAGGAGGGAGGAAAGGCAAAGCAACCAGGAAATGAGGAAACTTCTTTCAGATAGAATGAGGACCCTGGCCACATCAAAATCAAGCCAAGGGGTGTGGGGGTTTTTTTCCCTTTCTTCATCTCCCCCAAGTTTTTTCCCTGATGCCCACGTGGCTGTGCCTATCTTAGGTTGCCCCTTCTATTGAGGGCTCTTACCAGTCATTGACTAACCAGCCATCCTCCAGGGTCAAGCAGGGCGATGAAAGAGAGACATGTTTCATCTCCTCAGTGGCCTGTTTTCTCAAGGCTTCCTTGATTAGTTCCAGCCTTGGGCCCTCTCGCCTGTTGGTGGGCTACATGTAGTTCCTGAAACCAGATGGGGTGTTTCCCAACACATAATTATTGGATACCTAACTGATACTCTATGAAGAGATGTCATTGAGTTGTAAAATTCTTAGTGAGAGTTTGCTTAATGATGTTAGCTCATTTTACTAAGAGTACCAAGTGCCTGGCATTGTAATGAGCCCTTTAATAATTGAATGATAGCACATTTAATCCCAATAACAAAACTAGGGTAGATAGTGTCAATACTCACATTTTACAGAGGAGGAAATTGAGCCCAAGAAAGGTTAAGTAACTCTTCTAGAATCACATGGCTCAAGAGCAGCAGAGCCATAATTTGAAGCAAGGTATTCTGATTCCAGAACCCTAGTACCTTACCACTCCTGTTAACACAGTCACCCAAACTATGTCTGGGACCACAATGTTACTAATATCTTTCCATAGTGTCTCCATTTGATATCATTGAGTAAAGGATGTTGTGGTTTATCATTAAGGCCACATATCCTTATTCTGGCTCATAAGGACAACATTAAAACAATAGTTCATCCAATCAAGTTAGTACATTGAAGTCAAAACAGTTTTTTAGTGTTTGCAGTTGTCCAAATTTTTTGCTTTTTAATCCATTGTTTAAGTACTAATATTGAATATAACCTTAATCTCTCTAGGGAGATTATTAAGGAATAAAATGTGAACACACACATACCACTACACACAAAGACTTTGGAGAATGGTATTATAAATTACGAATCTGTGCCAGACTCTTTTTATGCTCCAGGTTATGTAGAAGGCAGGCCTAGAAATGTGACCTGATTGTTTACTTGCTTTTCCTCTCACCTGTGCTCTTTGGGAAACAATAGTAGCAGTATCATTAGCACATCCTCATGCTTTTCAACTTATGGCATGATAACGTTGCAGTGAGTGCAGTTACTTCTGGGGGAATGAAACTTCTACCTCTTTTCTAGTAATTTGCAAAGTGAATAAAGGCAAAAAAAAAACAGAGAAAAGAATTTGAGTGAGTTGCTCTGAAAAATATGCTGCAACAGAGGAAACAAAAAATAAAAACATTGTTATCAGGCAAAAATAACACATTTGAATAAATATTTATGTATGCTTTCATAGTTTTCTGGCTTATGCTCCTTCATGTACCTTGCAGGCAGTTAAAGAAACAACTATAAATCAAAAATAAGAAATAAAATGAACTCTATGAAAGTCTCTGATTACTCCATTACTGAAATCCAGCTTAGCAAATCATTCCTTTCCTTCCCAGTATGTCTATAAACAATCCAACACAAACTTATAGGATTTATACAATGTATTTAATATAAATGAAAGTAGAACCATGAACAGAACTGGCGAGAAATTAATTTATACTTTCCTCTGGCAAAAAAAAAAAAAAAAAAGAAAAGAAAAGTGTTTTGGGAAAACAACATTTTCCTAAGGAGAAACACCATGGAAGGATTTCAAATAATGTAAATGACATAGGGTGCTTTTGTGGAATATGTACCAAACTGGAAACTCACGGACTGAGCATTTTATTATTTTTTCCTACCACTAACTCTTGCATAATGTAGAAATGTCATTTTACTCTGTTTTCTTTAATGATAAAAGTGATTAAATGAGCACAAGCCAGCCTGGATGAAGAATGACAAAAACTAATCTACCAGAAACCAAAATGTGTGGTTTAGGCGGAGAAGTACATTTTGAAAATAATCTGTATGAGCTACAGTGCTTTCATACTGTAATCGAAACTCCAGAAGATCATACACACTAGAACACAATTCTTTCCCTCATCCACCCATATATATTTGTTTAAAAACATAATTTTCTTATTTCTATTTGCCTTAGGAAATCTGGACCCCCATATTCCCTTATGTTGGAGAATCTTCTAGGCATCTTTACCACTATACAAATCTCCTGCGAGTAACCCTACACACATCTCATCCACTATGAAAATCCACTCGCCAAATTTAATACGAAAAAAATCAAGTGATTTCTAAATCATAACTCTGGATTATAACTTTATAAAGACTTGATCTAGTATTAATTAAATATTATATATAATTTTAAGTATGTTCAAAATGCCAAGGAGCACCTGATAATGTAAGATGATCCTCATGTTTCTTATTGTAGAAATAATCTGAAATAAATTCCAGTATAGCCAAAAATATATTTTTGAAGTAACTGGATATTGGCTCTACTTTTGAAAAAGAAGTTGAGGCATCCCTAGTGAGTTCACAGCAAGGTGGAAACTAATATCTATTTTTCCCAACTGTGTTAGACAAGGCCACCAGAAATTATGTTAGGGGCTAAAATTAGCCATTGTAATAAAGCATAAGGCAATACTGTTATGTGCTGTCACTGAGTTTCAATATATAATAAGCTTTGATGGAATTCAGAAGTTTTTGTGAGTTGGAGTCATTCAAATAACTCTTTTTTTCTTTGTGTGATGCTAAACAATCAGTTTCATAAGCTCAGCACCTTTTCAGTAAGTGTTTTGATTTAGTGCAGGCACAGTCTCCATGTAATTACTATAAACACTCACACACGAGGTATATAGCATATATTATTGCATACTTAATATGCCATGTGCTTTTCAATTGAATTTAAGACAGCTTTATACATAAGAATTAATGAATATCCCTTTAATTAAAAACAACTTGAAGGCATGATCAATTAGTCAAAACAACTATACCAACCCAGAAAATTTCAAATCACAACGGCAAGCTTAAATTATTGTACAATAGAGGCACAGGAGAACGCACAGTGAGAAATAGTTCTAAAACCCCACATCAAAATAATGGAAGTTAAGTTCATCACTGGAGTGGATATGGAAGAAAACTGTACCATTAACGCATTAATATTCTCTCTGGAGAATTTTTAAGATAATAAATGCACCTGTCTGTTGAAGTTAGCATTGGTCTCATCTGGAAATTAAATAGTCAGTTAAAAATACAGTATTATTTGATTAATGACAGATACTATAAACCCATCTTATCCACAAATTCCTGATGCACTATAGATTTATTGCAGGTATTTATGAATTCCTACATCCACCAAGGTTTGTAGACTAAATAAATCTCCCATATTTATATTTACTGCTATTTTTTTCTAAGATAGCTAGAGTTTAGAATTTAGCTGAGTTAACGCATGGCATTGCTGCCTCTGGATCCATTTTGTTTGTCCAAGTGACTGCAGGAACCTTAAACTGACACTAGTCTCCTCATGGAAGCGCATGTCCTACATAGGAACTCACAGAGTCACAAACCAGTACAAGTTCTGGATATGACTCCCCAACGGCCCTTGTGATCAGCAGTCTCTCCTGCCTCCCAGTGCCCACATGCCTAATATACTCTAGATAAGGGTGCGGAAGGCTGTTTACCAAAACCCTCTGATTTATTGACAAGTCTGGCCCTAGCCCAGGAACACCAAAGCACTCCATCCTCAGACCCCTAATAGAGGCCTGTACCCCAGGAGCTGCCCATCTCTCTCTGTGCTCTGCCTTGACCTTCCCATGCAGCCTCTTTAGGTGTGCAGTGTACTTCCTCCAGGACCTGTGAGCAATAAACTTCTCTACTTCAATTTTGCTTGAGGTCTGTTGTTGCCCACAGCTCACCACCGGGCACCCTGTGCTCCACCTAACAAATGCCGACTTAACCAAGTCACAATAGCTAGTCATTACCGTATTTAAGACACAGAGTCAACAAACATGTCTGGCAAAGTCAGTGCCCCAGATTCCATGGGATCCCTTACATTTTCCAACCTCTAATGCACGTGGGTGAGTGCTATTATGACTAGGTTTATCCAGTGAATCATAAAATGGAGTGACAGGTCACTTCAGAGCATGCCTGGACAGTTAGGAGCCTTGATTTCTACTCCATTCCTCATTCCCCTTCTTGCAATGACTTTAGGGCCCATGTTTTCTAAAAAGCATAACCATAAGATGTAGAAAGATCACCTGACCCATACTGGTCTCTACGTGAACAAGAAAGTAACCATCTTATGTCAAGCAGTGAAGATTTCAGGTTTGTCTGCTGTAACAGCTAGGGAAATATGCCAGTCACAAAAGACAAATACTGCATGATTCCACTTACATGAGGTACCTAGAGTAGTCAGACTCACAGAGATAGAGAGTAGAATAGTGGTTGCCAGGGACTGAGGACAGAAGGGAATGGGGAGTTATTTAATGGATATAGAGTTTCGTTTTTACAAGATAAAAAAGAGTTCTGGAGATTTGATGTACAAAATTGTGAACGTACTTAATATTATTGAACTGTACATTTAAAAATGATTAATATGGTAAGTTTTATGTTATGTATATTGTACCACAATTAAAAATATAAATAAAAGAAAATTAAAGTGTCAGAGTAGAAATGTATTCTGTTTTCATTTTTAAAAAAAAACTTTCAAAGACTAAGCCTCAGTTGCACAGAACTGCAAGGTGATCCCCTCAAGAGCCTTCCAAAAGAGTTCTGAACTATGGCCATATAATTGGAATAAGAATAAAAAAACTTTACCCAAAATGACTGTCTAGGTCCGTTTGATGTCTGAAGGGAAAAGTGCTTTCTGGCCAAATAGTTTGCTTTTGGAAATCACAATGTCCTTTAGTAAGTTAAAAACTCTGAGAAATCTGAAAGAGAAAGAAAAAATCCTTTTAGTTTGTATGAGTCAGCCTTTCTATATCATTTAGCTAATAGTTTTTAAAATATTTTTTGCATAACATTTACTACCCTCTGAAATAAATATATTGCTCCACAATGCTCTTTTCAAAATGCTGGAATAACATCTCTAAAATGACATGTTAAACAATTGTTTTTGTTTACAAAGTGTTTCATTTTTTCAACACCTATTTATAATTATGCCTTGAAGAGCAAACTGTCATGATCAGACCTAATCCAGCATCGAAGAAGTAGAGCTCAAGATTGTTCCTGGCAGATCAATACATGTGTTTTAAATACATACAAGAACACACCTGGGCACACACATATACAAACAGCCAATATTTAATTGTGTACTTGCTATGAGCCAGATGCTATGCTAATGCATGACATGTACCTTATCTCATTTAATCATCACAAGAACCCTATGACAAAATGTTATTATTACCAGGATTTTAGGATGAGCAAACTGAGACTCCAAGAAGTTAAGAAATTTGTCCAAGGTCGCATGATTCACAAATGGGTATAACTTGGTTCAAACTAGAGCTCCGAGACTATAGCATCAAGTCCTAAACCATTGTTTTTTATAGGGCACTTTTCTATATGTATTGATCTGAATCTACAAGGTACTCCAATCTATTAGAAAAAATCTTACTCATCAAAAGGAAAAACAGAAACAATAGACAACAAAAACAAAGACACAACCCACAATTATATTTTTTTTAAAAATAAGTGACCATTCAAGTTTCCTTAAACTATAATTTTATTAAAAATTTATAATTTATTTTTTATTTTATTTTTGTGGTGTAGTGTCAATACAGTTTATTGTTTTTTTCAGGTACATTTTTTCTTGGTTTATATGCATATTTAGTCTTTGTAATTACAAGAACATAATTGTACAGTAACACTTTTAATAAAGAACTAGATCATCTCAGACACAGAAAGATTCAGGGTAAAATGGGCCTAGCATTTGCATTTTTAAATATCTTATATGGTTTTCAGTTCTGAATTACAGAAAATGTACCACAAGATGTATTTGTTTTTTAAATTTTTTATCAAATGTACTGGGGTAACACTGGTTAAAAAAAATCACATAGATTTCGAGTGTGTAATTTTATATGGACTTAAAAGTTGAAGACAAATAATAGAGTTTTTTTTTTAAGAGTCCTGTTTATACATATGAATGAAATGGAAGTACATTGGGTTAAGGGAAAGCTAAGAACTGGGAGACAGTTTCTAGTCCTGCTTCTGTCCTCATCTAACTTGCCTTAATCTTGGCAACATTCATCAACTTTTGCATACTTCAGTTTCCTTATTTGAAAAATGTGGAGAAAGGCCAAACTAGATGATCTCTAAGGTCTTCTCCAAAGACACAAACTTACGGAAACTTTATGAAATACTTTGTGGACGAACAGGGTGGAGGGAGTTTCCACAACACAATGGAAAAGGTATTCACCTTAAATTTGGTATAATTCAACTTTCTAAACTGAGACAAACTATCCCCTTGTTCTGTGGGTGCATCATTTATTTTATTTTAATAAAATTTTATATACACAGGTGAATGCAGAGACAGAACAGTTCTCTAAGGAAAAGGCAGCAAAGATTGGCAGAAGTTCATTTTGCTCTTACTTTTACTAATCTGTGTTACTTCTTTACTTATTTACTGTTGTGCTATTGATACCTAAAATTCAGTTCAAAAAGCAGTTCTCTCTTCATCTGATTCTTGTCTCTTCTATGGCTGGCCTCTAAGATGTGAATAAATTGTACCACACTGGAAGGAAGGAAGGAAGGAAGGAAGGAAGGAAGGAAGGAAGGAAGGAAGGAAGGAAGGAAGGAAGGAAGGAAGGAAGGGAGGGAGGGAGGGAGGGAGGGAGGGAGGAAGGGAGGGAGGGAGGGAGGAAAAGCAGAGAGAGCATTAGATATGCTAAAGACAAAATACAGGATTCAGAAAGAAGTCAGGTAGCTGACCTCTTGTTTCTAAGTTTCATCCAGAGTCATGAATAGTAGAAAAGCAATAGAAAAGAGATATATGTTTCCTCTGTCACCTCTGCACTTGTCCTGTTCATGTTAATGGGAGTAAGTGGGGAAAAAACCAAACAAAAAAAACAAAACAAAACAAAACAAAAAACAATTCTGTTAAGATAGGTCATACCCTTACTATCACAAAAGTTTCTATTGAGGCAAAAGGTTCAAAGACAGAAACCAAAAAAGAAGAAAAACAGGGTAAACATTACATGTCACACAAGGTAACTGGCATTGGGTATAAGCAGCCAGCTTAGGTGTCTGGCCCCAGATATCTTGGTAAATGAGAGAGAGAGTGAGAGGGGGAGAGAGAAAGGGGGTGGGGAGAGAAACAAGGACCAATCTAAGTAGCCTTGGCTGGAAGAAAGATCCTTACTGCATGTAAGTATCTCCCATGGGGTAGACAAGTGTTTCCATAGTCTCCTTTACTTTCAAAATGTCATTGCAAATATTAGTCAACCTGAACTCTTCCCAGTCCTAGTTTTGTTACTGAGCTTTTATCATTATCTCAGAATAAATACCTGAGCCTTTGTGTTCTCATAATTATATCAGATGATCTCTGTTCTCCTATAGTTACTCACCAACTTTCCACTTATCTAAATGAGTTTGTCTTTTCTCACTGTTCAGCTCTCTGAAGTTCATGTCATCACATTAGCCAGTTGGAGTGTGACCATTGACAAGTCAAGAAGCCAGAGAAGTCAGCTAGGATTTTTCTTTCTGTTTTTGTCCTTCCCCGCTCTACCTCCTCACATCAGACATGGGAATTTACATTAGAAAAAGACACTTTTCAAACTAGTAGCAAGCATTTCTAAAAAGTAGCTGCGAGTCATTCTCCTTGTCAACTGTTACAGTGCATTCTCTCCTTTTCTCCTTTCACTTGTCATGGTCTTTAAATGATTTCATACTTTTGCTTTCCCATAAACCAGCCATGGAAAACAGGCTCAGGGCCTCAAGTACCCCTACATAGAAGAATATTTATATGTTCTGGTATAAAGTAAAGTTCCAGGGACCCAGTAGATGCCAATAAGTCACTTCAAAAACACAAGGAGATATCCACACTCTTTCTTCAAACACAGATTGATTTCTTTCATGAGGCTGTTCTCAAGAACTAGCTTCTCAAGTCTCAGAGGAAAACACCTTGAATGTGAAATATCAAATTCTCCTATGGCTTCTATGGTTTCACCTGTCATATGAAGTTTATAGTTTCTAAATGTCATATCCTAAGGCTATAAATGACACCACACCAACTTTATAGACTAGGTACATTTAATCAAGTGTTTTTTTTTTACATATAATTATGTTTCAGTATATATAAATCTGTTTTATAGTATGCACAGTTACTATAATTGGAACTGCATTCTATGCCTATATAGGACAATTGAAATAAATCAACAAAAGGAAATTTTCTTACATATATGCCATTTAAGGATATCATTCTTTGGTGGCATAGTAAAGAACTCTCAGGAAGTAGAGTCAAAGGTAGAAGTAAGATTAATCCATTTAATGCTACTTTGTATACATACAGACAACTTGTCTCAGACAACTACTTTACAAATAAATGCTTTGAAATAAATTAGCCAAAAAATGTAATAAGGTTAATAAATAAAATGGAAAAGAATGAAAGATCAAAAGAACAGAGATGGTAAAGAAAAAAGTAAAAAAAAAAGGAGACAAAGCCTCTCTGAAAGTCTTCCTGTGTATCACATGCTAATTAATAATATTAAAAATTTTAAAATGTGGCATCATACTTTATGTCTGTAACAATCTGGAAATAGCCCAAGTGCCCATCAGTAGATGAGTGAACAAAAGAAGCCATGGTACATTTACACAATGGAATACAACATGGTCATAAAAAGGTACTCGTACCTTTTGCAACAGTATGGATGGACCTGGGGATTATTGTGCTAAATGAAATAAGCCAGTCAATGAAAGGCAAATACCATATGACTTATATGTGGAATCTAATGAAGAAAATAAACTGACAAACAAAATAGAAACAGAAGCTTGGATACATGGAACAGAATGACAGCTGTCAGAGGGGAAGGACAAGGGAAGAACTGGACAAAAGAAGGTGAAGAGATTAGCCAAAGAACATTCATGCATGACCCATAGACACAGACAACAGTGTGGTAATGACCAGGTGGTTTGGTAAGGGCTAGATGGAGATGAGCAACAGGGAGGAAAATGGGGACATCTGTAATAGTGCTGCTTTCAACCTAAATGAGTATTATGAGTCTCTTTTTAGAGCCAGAAGTTTTCTCTCCCTGTCCATTTGGCCCATGGAGCCAGCAACTCCAATTCCATGCCGATGTCATCAAAGCAAGGAAGCTACCATGTTAGGCCTTGTGCAGAATGTTATAAAATTTCAGTGGAGGAATCTACTTCTCCTGCAGTCACACTCAGCATATTGGGCTATTTGTAGAATTAGTGCTAAACCTGGGAATGAAAATAAATTGTTGGAGAGACTTAGATGGACTTCAGGAATAGCATGAGACTACCATAGTCAAGTTTTTCTAGAGAAAGAAAGAATACCTGTAATCTAATTTGTTCACTTCAAGATACTCTCATGTTGTCTAATCTCTAAATGCTCAGTACAATCACAAAATACCTAATCTAAAATGCTGAAAAGCTAAAAGGAAAGTTCTTTTAACTTTCATAATTTCAAGCATTCCTAAATTTACTGCTATTTTTACAAGCAGCATATGTATACTGAGTATGATAGCAGAAGGATTAGAACTCTAAATTGCTACTATTTACTCACATGCCACCTTACCTAGCATGTAATAAATTCTAAATAAATGCTATTTATTATTATATCATACTATGCCCAGCTTCAAAAACTGCAACAATCAGAAGAATTTTTTAATGCACACATTTATTAATTGACACACATAAGTAAAAAATTAAAAACATACAAGAACTAATCTAATATCTGTATCACATTTATGGT